CCCTTTCAAAGTTGCACTGTCCTTGTAGAGCTTCAAAACCATGCTTGTGGGCAATCAGAAACCAATGGAAAAATTACAATGCGAAATTTAGGAAGCCTGCTACACTTTTCTTCCGCATGGATTTTTTTCTACATTTCTAACACATTGTACGTGCTACCCTTGCCCATTCACGTTCCAGTTTTGGTGTCATTTCGCACCTTAAAAAGACAGTGGGTTTTTGAATTTTTCGTCATGGCCAAGATCGTATTTGTTTATAACAGTCATAGCTCGTTCATCTCGCTGAAAGTGTAGAAATGCGTATGGGGCGAGCGAAGTGGCCTGCGCTGTAGAAAACGCAATAAAAATTTTTTTCCAAAGAAGCTCCCAGCTTGACATTTGCCGCCTTCATGCTGAGCTCTATTTGCTTGTTAATCATACAACGAACTCCTAAAAAAGTTGTCTATGCTTTGGAATCTCCATCTTTTTGACGTTGTAATTAAAGAGCTGTTTGAGAATTATGTTTTTATGATGTATTGCCTCATACTATAACTCTATCACCACATCGCCGCTTGCAGCTAAGCTTCCTTAAGCCATGTTTGTTCTCACTACTGGTAGTGAGCTTATGCGTTTATTAATTGAACTTTCTATAATGTTTTTTGGTGCGGACATCTGATTTAGAAAAGGGTATGAATTGCTCAACATGGAATGATCTCCTTAAAAATTCTGGATTCCTCGTGGTTTTGACTTCACACCTCGCTGCCAGCGTGCTATCCGTTATCATTTCTACACTCGTGATTGTAAAATGCGGACATCTGACTTTACATGTCAACTCTAAGGTAAGTAAGAGATTATTATGCGTTTCGTCTGCTTCTTTTCGTCGAAAAGTGACTATGAGAAGCCAAAGTATTCTAAACTAGCCAATACATTTTACTAGGTCGTCCCGAAAGTATTTTCGCTTTTTTGAACAAGCGCCACAGTCCGCAGAACAAAGGCTCTTGGTAGCATTGTTTTTTATGCTCTTTCAAAAGTTCTCCTTTATATTGCAGTTGTAGCAACAAGCTCTCAGACACTATAAATTGCGACTCATGCTTTTGGTAAGGTCAGGTTCCGTTATTTTTCTAAATTCTTGCACTGATTCCCAGAAGGAGCACAAGTAAGCTATGGATGGAGCAAACCTTATAGAATACAAAACAATTTCGCCCCTTTCATAACTTAATTTCAGTACAAGAATTTAGAAAAATAACGGAACTTAACCTTGGTAAAAAGCATGAGTCGCAGTTTTGAGTAGCAGTCGATTTTGTAAGAGCTCGTTATTACAAATGCAATATAAAGAAGGCCTGTTGAAAGAGCATTTAATTCTGCATCGAATGCTTCCAAATGCTTCTGTAAACCTTTGCTCTGCGGACTGTGGCGCTTGTTCAAAAAGGCGAAAATACCTTCGAGACGACCTAATTATATGTGGAAAGATAGTGTTTAATCCACTATTTCTCAACAACAACAGGCAAAAAACTGATGACATAATAGAACTTGATTCTACCTTTGAATGCCTTTTCTCCTCTTAGAATTGAAAATTTACTTCGCGTTGATGTTGCAACTAGTTGTTTTAGATTTTGATTTTGACTATGTTGGCGTTATACATTCTACACTCTATCATCACAATCGTACTGCAGGTAAAGGCATTCATAAATCTTCGATAAAAATTTGTGTGTTGCAATGACTTTATTTCAAAAAAAATTTTTTTTCGAGCTTTCCTAAAGAAAGTGGTTGAACGCCAAACGTATTAGGTCGTTCCGAAGGTAATGTCGCTTTTTTCAAATGAAAGTCACATCTCGTGGCATTTTTACGAGGTCTTGCTTGTATTCGATGCAGCATTACATCTTCTAAAGATTATGAAATATTTGCAGCACTCTGAGAGTTCTCAGAAAATTACCACTTTGCGACTCGCACTTTTAATGGTCAAGTTTCACAATTTTCCTAAGCTTTTATATCAAGCCTCCGAAGGAGTCCAAGTAACATAATTATAGAGCAAACTCTACAGCATGCAAAACAATTTTCCTCTCTCTTCCATAACTCTTCATACTATCAGTTTTAACTGATGCTACCAATTTCCATACTTACAAGGGAATGGTCAGAAATCGGAGTGGTCAATAAAAAAACAAGCTCCATACCATTGGATGCAGCATAAAACGCTGACTTCGAATCCTGTTTCATATCTGCTTAGCGCCTATGTGGGCGAAGTTATGAGACGTTGAAAGTCGTTATTTCGCCGAGAAATCGCCCATGCAAAGCGCAAGTTTGGCTGTACAGTGCCATGTTTGGCTAGCTGGGCAAAAACCTGCAGCTAGGTTACTTCATATAGCCCATACCCGGAGGTGAGCTAAAAGGGCAGTGATATGCATAATTTCGCAATTTCATGTGCAGTTTTTTTGCAATAAAACGGCTTACAACTTCGTCCACAAAGGCGCTAAGCAGATATGGAACACAGATTCGAAATCAGCGTTGAATGCTGCATCAAATAGTGGGCAGCGCTTAAGTTGGCCACTTCGACTTCTAATTATTCCCTCGTTAGTCAACTAAGAGCTCATAGAACATCAAAAGGAGAGCAGCTCGGTTGCTATTCGATGCAGCTTTTTCTCCTCTTTACAATAAGTGTTTCTTATTCCGATTCATGGAGTCTTCGGAGATAAAACCATCATAACTCATGTTTTAAAACGCGCTCAAGCTGTACTCAAAAAACTCGTTGATATACCGAGTCCTTAAACTCACACTTGCTTCGTAAAATTAGTGTCATTATTGACCTTTAATGCGATTGGGGCTAACCCGAATCTGCCAAAATTTGATGGTTTTGATAAGGAACTTAAAAAATTGTGACGGGCTAAGAAGAAGGGGGAAAAGCTGTACTTTATTTTCTAAGGTTTGCTCTATCGAATCTTCACTTGGATCCTTCGGAGGGTTGACATGAAGGTTTAGAAAAATTGTGAAATTTGGCATCTTAAAAAGTTCGGGTTGCAGATTTTGGTATCTAAAAACCTATCATGTACTGCAACAACTTCATTACCTTTAGAAAGAAAATGAAGTGCTGCTTCGGATGCTGTCAAGATTTCTTGAAAATCCTTGTTCCGAAATGTGGCGCTCATAAAAAAAGCGATTCTACTTTCTGAGCGACCTAATATTACGTTGTCGGATAATCTCTTGATTTTTTGTAGAATTCTGAAAAATTCTGGCAGCTCTTTAGAATCCTCAAATTTTCTCGATGTGTAGGGTGCGGCAGCTATACACAACAGTATGACTAATGCCGCAAAGGCACGGCTATAGCAAGTTTACGACAACGTTGTAAGCGCGTCCAAAATGTCATTTTTTCTTTAATTTTTTCGAGTCTAATTTTAAAACATATTTTCGCACTATCTCTCTGGTAGCATTTGGTGCTAGCATATCAAGAACGAGAGGTAAGAAGGGAACCAAAAGTTAAAAAATTTGTCGGAAGTTTTTCTTTTTATGTGCAATGTAGGATTTGATGCGGTGAGGTCGAAAGTGATTTTTATAAATCTTCAAAAATTGTTCTCTATGTCAAAATGCAAATATGCGCTGACATGGCGCAATATGTGGCTCATGTGACCGTGTGAGGACATGATTGTGCCATCCCCCTATCTTCGCCACTATGGACCATACCCTCCCCAATTACCACAACCCGGTCTTCTCCTGATCACCTGGAAGAACCAAACCGTTGACAAAAGTCCATGAAACATACTCCAATCGTCGTGTGTGTTTTGCGCATGGGCCACGGATCTGACAATACCTCTGGTGAACCCTTGCACCCCCTCAATACTCCTTGAACACCAGAAAATTCGAAAGTCTCTTACAAGGGAAGGATACAGGGTCGCAGCAGCGGCGAACCGAAATGATATGCATATCATAAGATGCGCTTTGGTAAGCTGATTCCAAATCTGACTTCCGTTTTTGCTAAGCTCTTCTCTAGAAGAAGCTATGAGCGTTCGAATGTCCAAGTCTGGCAAACATTTAGTGCCACATTTACAAGAATTACTTGCAAAACACTTATTTATGTGTTCGGTTTATGTGTACATTCCTTGTAGTCTATGCAGTCAAAACCATGTCATTTGATCACTCCCAAGATGGTAATCAAAGCACACTACGCATCAGAACCCCAATAACTTTGCAACTTGAACCGCCCATAGCTTCTTCAAGAGAGGAGCTCAGCAGATAAAAAAGATAGTTTTGGAATCAGCTCATCAAGGCGCATACAATGGGAAGCATATCATCTCGGACCGCCAGCGACTCAGTACCCTTCCTTGTTGGATTTTTAAGAAATAGAAATAAAAGTGCTACAGAAATCATCCGCAACCTTACATATGGCTTCTGTTACTTTGCATATCTACATCGGGCATTTGGCAGCTTGCGAGGCAGCTAACGGTAACGAGGGTCTGAGCACTGTTTCTTACTTTCCATGTTTAGTATTAACATGCGCCGGGCTGGATCTTTCGTTGCTAGTACGCTGAGTAAAGGCTCTAGTTAGTCCTGTGCTTTCATCCTTCAAACTTCCGTCGACTATTGTGTAATTTCGTGAGCGTGTTAAAAAGCATTTCGAAGACTTCGTCAGAGCATTGAGCCGAAGATGGATAGATTGCATTGCTCGAGTGTAAGTCCTTGTAAGGTTTTGCATGTGAAGTATGAAGGCATTTGTACAAGTGGAAGGCTTGAAGCGGAGCAGTAGGAATGAGAAAGTGAATTTTGTAAGCGAGCACCTCGTCTAGGGGTACTAATCTCACAGTAAACTTCCTTATCAGTCTTCTAGATCTTTAGTACTACCATCATGCTTGCTAATGGGTGCATTAGTATTGGTAAAATTGACCGCAAAATATTCAATTTGTCTTATATATCCGAGTTGTTACTAGTCCAAGATTTAGGCTTATCAAGTTGGAAACTATGTAACTTTGCAAAGACCATGTGAATTTTTGATTCCGAAAGATGTATGCTTTACACTACGGCTTTTGGGAAACTTTTGCATGATCTCCTTTGCTATTTTGCAGGTTCGATATTACCGATTATAATTCATTTACTTATTATAATTCATCTGTAAGAACTAATCTCATTGCAGTTTGCTATGGTAGCTGAGCGATACGTAGCGTTGTGGAAGCGCAGCAGTTATGAGACATTTGGGAAAAAACTGGGTATTAGCTTTGCATTTTTCTCGGTGAGAAGAGTCTGGTAAAAGGTCAGGTAACATTGCAATGAGATTACGCCAGGTCACAGCTGGATTCGCTATCGTCTCTTGGACGACTCGTATAGAGGAGTTTTCGGCTTTACCTTATTGTACCCCATCTTCGCCACGCGCAGTGGAAAGAATAACATTATTATGTTATTTTCTTTGTTCTATAAACGCAATCACTTTGGTTGGAGTGGCAGTTCTCTTCACTGGGAATTACATCGCCGTCAAGAGGTTGTTTGATTTTTTGATGAAATTCAACCGCAGAAAAGATTATTTCCATTATCACATTTCAGCAAACGTTTCGATTTGAGTTCTTCCTACCAACTAGTGGAAAACTATTCGGTGATCAAACTTCTTTTACCCCTTTCCGTATTCCAAAGTATATGCTACGCTTTTTTTACTGTCTCTTCTGGAGTACTTGCCATTCTGGTAAACGAGTTCGATTATATTACTTTTCGAATGCTGTTTCTTCTCACTTACGTAAGTGTTAGTGATTGAATGTAATTTGAGAGTGTGACAATCTGTTGCAGGTTATACCTTTCTACACCGTGATATCACCAAGTATGATTTGGTATATGATATCAAAATCACAGCGTTTGAAATCCATCAAGTTGAGACAAGTTACTCAGCACGCTAGCAAAGTGGATGACATATATTTCGGCGCGTATTTGAAAATGTGGTGATAAAAGCCAACGAATTAGTCTATCAAAACTTTTGGATGATTAGCTAAGACAGATCATGTAACTTGTACAGTCATTATACTCATAATTTTATTTTGATTGATTAAATGAATATGATGCCTGTTTATCATTAAATGAATACGATGCCTGTTTATCCTAATGTCTAGTGGAATTCAGAAGTTTGAATCAAGTGAGGAGATTAGTCGCGTTGTTTCATGGCTCAGACAGTCGATGGGATACCTCCGGAGCAGAAGTGGCAGGATCGCGGGCTTTCCCCAGCGGAGGATTGCCACTTCGCGCTCCGGAGCCCTGCCATTTGACGCATTTTTGTGCTCCGGGGCTCTCCCAAAAGTGGCGCACCTCCGGAGCAGAGATTTGCGCGTCGCGGAGAGGGGTCCCATTCGTCCTGTTTGTGACGTCTATATTTTATATATTTTTGATGTGATTGAAGGAACTGCGAAGTCATCACAACTTCGTTACAAGATGATTCCACTTACTTAGATGAATAATCTCCGAGACGAGATCTAAAGACAATGCTAAAACCGGCGTGAATGATATATCAAAGTGTCGTCTGTATCTGTAAAAGGTTTTTTTGAAAAAAGGTTTACATGTTTGACTACAGATGTGTCACCGGTGCTGGTTTTGTGCTATAACTTTTGAGTGGCAAACGGAATGTTGGGCGGCATAGTCCCAGTGTACAGAGTAGCAGCTTCAAATACTTTATGGCGTGCAAATTTGTGACCCACAGGTTTTTTGATGAAGGTTTTGCACACACGGGTGATCGTGTATCACCATTTGTTGTTACATTTGAATTACATCTCAATTTGTACTTTATAAAACTATCTTGCTCTTTGAATAAGGAGAAATAGCATATATTTTAGTATACCGGGTGTCCCAAAAAATGTGAACACTATTTGATCGTTAATAACTCCGTTGCTTCCATGTTTTTCGCCAATTTTAAGGCACCATTCTGTAGAGCGAGAATTAACTTAGATCTACAGTATGGAGCAAATCGTCGATCGCCCCTCACTACTGTAGGATTACGGTAGGAATACAAGAATTTTAGGCCATTGAAAGCCATATTCTTTTCGGATCGAAACGAACAAGCCAAAAATTTTTATACTATGGTAATGGAAGCCGCTGATTTCAAATATAAAATTTGCACTTTATGGTGATGCTTCTTTCCAAAGTTATCCCAGGTGAACCGTAATAACTGAATTTCCAGCATTTGTCAGAAATGTGACAACACCGTCAAAGAAGTTAAAATTACTCGTAAAAAGTTTTGTAGTGGGATAAGATTGCGCGAAAACCCTAGTACACGATTTTTCAGATTTTTTTTTGAAAAAAAATGGCATATTTCACTACGGATCCACATGCTAGAAGTTCATACCGTAATCGTACAGTAACGAAGAGCGATCGATGATTCGCTCCATACTACAAATCTAAGTTGAACCGCGCTTTACAGAATGGTGCATCATGCTCGGCGAAAGACGTGAAAGCAATAGAGTTATTAACGATCAACCAGTGTTCACATTTTCTTGGACACCCGTATATCTCAAAACGAAAGGATGATAAGGAAGATTTTTAACAGCAATGAGAATGAGACATGAGGGAAATGGGAGAAACAATTATAGTTGCAATGACATGGGTAGAACGCAGGCATAGCGCTACATTCTAACAGAGCAGTGCCAAGATTGGAACATATCAAAATTCAATGAGTGTAGACACGAGATGGTTGAATTCAGCGAGAGTTTTGAAATGTAAATTGTTTATATTCCTCAAATCATTATAAATGTTAACCAACGCTTGAAAATTTGATATCAAATCGAAGAGCGTACAATGGCTTATATCTCTTCTATCAGCGTTATGAGCGCAGTATAGGACATTTGAAAAATCGTGACGATGGATGGCGGCTCGACCGCACGCGACACGCACGCCACTTCCGAAAATCGCATTTTCTTGGCTTAGACACTGGAAGTGACTGAGCTGAACGTAAAGGTGATGCCTTCTTGTATGAGTTTTGTGCTCCTGTGGGTCCGCAGTAGAATCCGTCATCACGATTTTATAAATGAACTATAGCTAGGTAATCACAAATTTACAGATTTGAATTCAATCAAAAAGCACCTTTTCCATGTTCTATTTTATGGAAAGTCACTAATATTAGCAACGATGGAACTCACGGTCCCTCGAAAGATTGTTTGGGCTGCATTGCGTCGCAACGTACTTCGCGTACGCTGCTATGAATGAGACATGCCCATGTATGTATCGCACGCTGCGTATGCCGCAGGATTGAACCAGACTGCCGCACGGAGCAGTCTGGTTCAATCCTCAGCCGCCAACCCTTATTTCACTGAATAACAAAATGTTTTCCACACTTTAGCGAGAAGGAGTTGGTTGTTAAATTCAAGAAATGGAAAGTGCTGCTGCGTTAAGAAAGTTTTTAACACATTGACGACCAAGGCGTTTCACGGACCACTCAACATTTTTTAGATAAAATCGCGCGCAAATTCATCTACAGTACAATTGCAGTAATTCTGGAATGCTGGCAAAAACAGTAAAGGTTATGTCTAGTTTCTGCACAAAAGAAAACTCCGGAGTGGGTTTAAGTAGCAATTTCAACGATACACATGGTGTGCCAAGCCTTGACACAGCATGTGTGTCAAGCGGTCATCAACGTGTTAAACCTACTTTTCACCTGTGTAGAACAATTACCCAAATTTGATAAATATCATTCGCGCAACGTGTAAAAGGTGTAAAAATTTACTCAAGATTAGATTCGATATGGAGTACGCACCCAGGATCCGCTTGCAATGAATTAAAGGGGCATGTAATCTATACAAATGCATGTTTGAGGCAAGATATATACCAGCGCAGACTGTCGACGCTCTCCCGTCTAGCTGCTCTCTCTCTCTCTCTTCCCTCCCCCTCGAATGTAAAAGTGCACATGCGGCATTGTTATAGTCATGAGCGTCCCAAAAACCGTTTCTATGGTCTTAAGGGGGAGCTCGGCATAAGTGCAATAGAACTTCTCGAAGACAAGATTGCCGTTACACGGCGTGAAGATGCCCGTAAAAAACAAAAAAACTGAGTAAGAATAGTGTAGAAATTCAAAACGTCTATATTGGACAGAAATACGATGCTTCGATCACGTTGAACCAAATAAGAGTGATTGTCGCTTTTCCCACGGTCATCATTCGGCAGTTCGCCTTGATGAGATTCTTGGGAAGACAAAGAGACATAACGTTTTATAGCATTACTCGTCACTTATCTTCGCAGCTGAACAGATGGATCGCCATGTTTCTGACTATTGTAAGGTCAAGTTTTCAGGTGATTGTTGCCGTTGGCATGAACGCCGGAACTGGGGGAGGGATGGAGGAGGAGTACAAGTGGTAAAAAGCTATACCATGGAGAACTTACTTACAATGCTCTAGCTTTGGGAGGCCATCGAACAGAGATATTTTTAACGCATGAAACACAGCATGAACTATCAAAGCGAACATATCAAGTGATGTGGACCGTCCATTTTTTTTAGCTTTTGAGACTTGATATGGGAATACTCATTTGGACACGCTATCAAGTGACTGAAGATTTTGGAGGAAAGAAGCTCTCGAGACCAATTTTGGTAGCCAATGAAATTAGCCGGAACGGAAAATTGAGCCTCTCTGGTTTTTCTGAGTAGTAAGATATGAAAAGTTTCGTCAGCTACATACTGATTTTATAAGGCTGTTTTGTGCTTCACTTTCGAAGTCAAAAACTTTTCCAGTGCTTCACACGCTACTGGAAAATTTAGAAACGAGGATTATAAACTCACTTCCATTTTTGTTATCCTTCTTTGTGCAAGTGATACGGTTTGGTTTTCGTTGATAAACATACATTCATCATTGGCTAGACGGACTCCCTACTTGCTTTCTTCCTGCTACATTGTGTATTCATTGATTAATGTTGCTAGCCAGCAAGCGTTTTTTTAGCAAACGCTACTGCTACGATGCTTTTTGAAAGGGAAGTCAATCAGTAATATAGAAAAAACAACAGCTGACGTTTTTCTTCCATAGAAAGTCTCCTTCATAATCAGTATTTCTTCCTGCCATTTGCGTGCGACCCAAAAGTGAATGGAAACAGCCGTCGATCCATTTGTCGCAACCTGCTGTTAGGCGAAAGTTGGAGGATCACATCGATAGTTCTGCCACGGAGAAGTTGGAAGCTCATGCAGACTGCTAGCTACTGCTCAGGATAACCAATCTAAATAAGGCAGACTCCTGCGTGATTGCTGAGTTCTCCCTGCTCCAATTCTTGGGTTTCTGCCTTTTGGCGGAGCCCAACCGCGCTCGTATGGGTCCCGCAAATGCATGCAAGATGATGCAAATCATCTGTTGAACACGGTTGCGAAGGCAGGTTTTAAGGCAGATTTCTTGGTCGTATGTTTATTGCGCTTTATTGTGCAGACCATCGGCTAGGAATCGCTGCTCTTTTCAAATGGAAACCCCTTACTGCAGAGTCTGGACATTTAGCTGAAATCTAGTGAGCACTACTAGTACCATTTGATTCAACTGGCTTGGCTTCGGCATAGGCGGGGCTTCGTGACCTAATTAAGGCTAGGTGATGATCAAAGAGCCCTCGCGCGAGAGAGACGCACGTGCGTCGCGGGCGCGAGCGGCCTCAATTAGATCACAAAACCCCGCCCTAAAGGAGCCAAGCCAGTTGAATCAAAGGTTAATCTTAATTTAATCGCTCATGAATTCTTGTAGTGTCCCTCGGCAGATGTGGAAAGCAGTTCTGAAATTAGCATTTTTAGGCCCTTTGAAGAACTTCCCGCAACTCGAACTCTGCAAAAAGTCGATAAAATCGATATCGACCGATAATGAAAAGTAGCCTACGACAAGCGTTCTGCCCCGAAGTGTATGGATGCAATGTTTGAGCCAGGTTGGCTTACAAATAAAAAATTCTATTTGAAACATGCGTACAGACCTACATATATGCATTTGTGCAAAATGCCTGTCAACAAA